AAAAATCAGCCGGGTGTGGTAGCGTGCGCCTGTAGTTCCAGCTACTTGGAAGGCTGAGGTGGAAGGATCACTGGAGCCCAGCGGGTCAAAGCTGTGGTGGCCGGGAGCGGCCACTGCCCTCCAGTCTGGGTGACAGAGTGAGACTCCAACTCAAAAAAAAAAAAAGCCTAGTAAAAAAATCCTAGGGCTGGGTGGGGTGGCTCATGCCTGTAATCCCAGCACTTTGGGAAGCTGAGGCAAGAGGATTGCTTGAGCCCAGGGGTTCAAGACCAGCTTGGGCAACTTGGTGAGACCTCATCTCTACAATATTAAAAAAAAAAAAAAATTAGCCGGGAGTGGTAGCAAGTGTCTGCAGTTTCGGCTACTTGGAAAGCTGAAGCAGAAGGATTGCCGGAGCCCAGCAATTTGATGCTGGGGTGGCTGTGAATGTGCCACTGCACTCCACCCTGGGCAACCGAGTGAGACTTCAACTTAAAAAAAAAAAAAAAAAAAATTCTAAATTCCAAGGTGCTGGGAAGCAACCCTGTATTGTGAGTAGATCAGGTTTGCTAGTCGTTTCCAAATGTTCTCCAGGGTTTCTTCACAGAATATAAAACAGGATGAGGAGTCGGGATGAGCAGACGCCAGGGCTGAAACAGTTTCTCACCTCCTTTCTTAAACTGATCATTCCCCTCCTCCTTTAGTCTCGTGCTCTCCTCTCTTCTTTTCTGAAAGACATCAGAGAATTACATAATTTCTCACAATTTTATGATAAGAGAACCAAAAGGTCAGCTTTCTTTATACACAAGTATACTAAACAGGCAGTAACCTGACTTCTGCGAACTGGATTCATTTAACCTAAACCTTAAAAGCCACTGAGAAAAAACAACACACAACCATCTGACTAGTTATCAGTTGCATTTTTAAAATTTTGAGTTGGAGTCTCACTCTGTTGCCCAGGTTGGAGTGCAGTGACATGCTAATGGCCACCGCAGCCTTGAGCTGGGCTCAGGCGATCCTTCCATCTCAGTCTTCCTTGGAATTATAGGCATGTGCTACCATACTCAACTTATTTGTTGTAGAGTTGGGGTCTCACCAAGTTGCCCAGGCTGGTCTCAAACTCCTGAGCTCAGGCAATCCTCTTGCCTCCGCCTCTCAAAGTGCTGGGAGTACAGGCTTGAGCCACGGCGCCTGGCCTAACAGTTGCATTCTTGATGTTTAAAACACAAAACTTAGGTTTTCTTGGCATGTTTTTTGCTTTCTTTGTGTCTATCTTTTGCAGGGAATGGTAACTCAGGTAATATTTAATGTCTATGCACTCAGAAATGAAACTAAGCAACATGTGCTGGTTTACATACCAGCGTAAGTTCAAAGTCTGCCTCCTACTACTTATTCATTGCATGACCTTGGACAAATTTCAGAATCTTTCTGTACCTCAGTTTTTTCATCTAAAAAATGAAGCTTTAATAGTTTTATGGACTAATGTTTACTGGATTAGTGTGATAATATTTGTAAAGTTGCCAATATGGTGACTGGCAAATAGGGGCTCAATAAATACAAGCTATTATTTTTCTGTAAAATAAGTAATTTAGGCCAGACACTACTGGTATACATCACCATGCTGGCTCTCTTCTTTCATTCTTGAAACTTCTGATTAAATAAAAACTTCAAAGGGAGGAAATAAGGTTGGCAGGGTATTTCATGCATAGGAGAAACCTGGAGCCTATTAGTTTTCTTAAGATTAGGAACCGAAGTAAAAATATTCTTTCTCTGGAGAAGATGTGTGAATATGTGATCGATCGATAAAACCAGGGTACTCCCCAAATGCCTTATTATTACACTCTGGGTGAAACAGAGCACTTGAAGATTCTCAATAAGGAAACAAAAAGGTAAATATAAACTGTATCTAATTTTTATGACACCCACTAGGGGTCAGACACACAGCAGATAGAAATAATAATTCACTTTAAGATATAGCACACCTGAGGAAGGGCTATTTTAAAGGAATTTAGAAAAAATAAAATGGGTGCTGGCGGAAATAAAAATTCAAGAATATGGCCATAATTGCCTAGTATTACCCAAAAGAAAGGTACTTGGATTGAAATGATCTCTACTGTACTAATTAGAGTTTTTGGATGTAAGCAATTTTAGGGAGCAGGTTTACTGGAAAGATACTGGGATTCACAGAATCACTGAGAAGCTAAAACAATAGGCTTAGAAAGCAGGTAGAGACCCGCCTGCGCAACTTGGCGAGACCTCATCTATGCAATAAATCAAAAAGTTAGCTGGACGTGGTAGTGCACGCTTGTAATTCCGGGCTTCTTGGAAGGCTGAGGGGGAAGGATCAACAGAGCCCAGCAGGTCGAGGCTGCGGTGGCTGGGGGCAGCCACTGCACTCCAGTCTGGGCGACAGAGTGAGACTCCAATTCAAAAAAAAAAGAAAGTAGGTAGAACTCAAGGCAGCTCTGTGAGGCCAAGAAGCCAAAAATACGAGTATCTTTTAGTGAGAGTTTAGCCTGGACAGGGCTGCAATGGAAGGAGATAAATTCTAACCATTTCCATTTTGCTTCACTCAATCTAGATTCGAGGCCTTGGTCAGAAGCATCCAAAAGCCAAGCAGAGGTCACATGCCTTGGCTGTCAGAAGATGGCATGGGGGACACGGGGCACTGTCACTCAATTAAGTTACAACACAAGAGAATTTCTCCAAATAGGAAAGAGGGCTGGACACTGGAGAACCAAAAAAATACAAGCCCAGTTAAAAAACAAATTTGCTTAGAGGAGGGTAATTTATCAAGTTACTAGAGCTTAATGCCCATCCTTTAAGAACTTTCAATTTCCTCAGCTTTAACTCTGATCTCAAGCTACTTTCTGACCCATAATCTGTTCTTCAGTGCCAACTCATTAGGAATGTTCTATGAACAAGATGAACCACTCAGACTGTCAGATCAGACTCTTGTGAAATAAGAGTGTGTGTGTGGTGGTGTTTTAAAAGATCAGTCATTCTTTGGTAAATTTACAACATCAAGTTCCCAATGGGCAACTAGACCCCAGGTACACCTAGAAAGGAATTGCTGATAAGGGCCAGCTGAGAAATGCTCACCGTGTATTTATAACTAGGAGGACTAAAAGTTGAGCTAGCAAGGTGAAGGGATCCAAAACATATAATTCTGCAGCCAATTATTCTGAGGAATGCATTTTATGTTTCAACTGTTAAATTTCAGTCCAGTGGCCCATTAAATAGTAAACCCTGGAAAAGAGCTGCTGCTTCCCTTGCCACAGATTGTGTAAATTGAGGATTAATGCAGTTATCAATATCATGCTAAACATTTTCTTGGAAACAGATAAAAACAGCATTCTGAGGAAAAAACTGAACTATCTCCCAGCTGTGTCAAGACACTGATTTGATTGCAGTACAAAGATGGGAGTTTATCCTGCTGCCTGAATATACTCTTTCTCCAAAGGATGACACACATATTGTGCAACATTTCTGGAATCCAAGGACAGACTTTACAGATGGTGTGCACGTCTAACTTAGCACACTAGGGCCAGGAGCATCCACGCACATGAGCTGGTGGTGCTGATATTCTGCAGCCTTCAGGGTCAAATCTTTCCAGGTTCTGTTCTGTTCTATGAACAGAGACTTCTCATGTGGTTAGCGCTCCCTCACCGCCTCCACAATGCCTTTTAACACATTCCAGAGAGGCTGCTCAGGGAAACATCTGCTCCTGAATTATACTTCCATAGAAACAGGAACCAAAAAATCTTTACAAGGCTCTTAACTCAGTACTCCTCTCCATCACTGAAAACTCAAAGGGAAATAGTGACATTACTCTGCATTGTAAATCATCACAGGACTGCCAAGGAAAACCCCAAACATACAAAGCCCTTGATGAATGGTTTATTCCAACAATTACTACCACAACTGCAAACTTCTTAGCTTAGTATTCAAAATTCAGTACAATCTAGACCAGTATAGCATCTCACCACTTAAAATCTGCTGTCACATACATTAGCTCATTCACTTTTCAAGACAGTCCTGAGGTGAGCAGGGAAAGCTTTACCGATGTTACAGATGAGGACATCAAGACTCAAAAATCTCTTGTTCTTTATACTACATCAAACTTCTGTTCCATCTTATGCAACTTTATCCTGAACTTCTACCCAACACAAGGCTTCCCGTCTAGACAGCCTGATTTCATTACTGCCTCTCAGAACTTACCATGCTTATTCTTCATTCCATCTGTTTTCGTTTGCAGCCCCCTCTTGGAATGCCCTTTCATGGAACAACTCTTCCATATCTTCTTCCCAACACCCCAAACCAAATTTTTCTTACTTTCCAAGTCTAGTACAAACCTCATCTCCTTCCCAGGGCAGCCTTTCACTTCCTTTCCCACATGATCTTTCTTTGAATGCAGACTATATATGTTGCTTCTAATTTGGGAATTCAATTCTGCCTCACAGATTTTTAAAATTATAAGACAATAAAGGCATTACAAAGTGTTTGGAATGTTAATGCTTTAATGGTTTTGTGGGTTGTAGAGAGCTTTTCTTTGGTTTTTTTTCTGAGTTGGAGTCCCACTCCGTTGCCCCGGCTGCAGTGCAGTGGCATGCTCATGGCCACCCCAGCATTGACCTGCTGGGCCCTGGCAATCCTTCCACTTCAGTCTTCCAAGTAGCCGGAACTAAAGGTGCTTGCTACCATGTCTGGCTAATTTTTTGATTTATTGTAGAGAAGCGGTCACATCATGTCGCCCAGGCTGGTCTTGAATCCGCAGGCTCAGATAGTCTTCTCGCCTTGGGCTCCCAAAGTGCTGGAATTACAGGCTTGAGCCATTGAGCCCTGATGTAGAGAGCTTTTCAATCCTTGGACCTGGGCAAAAGGGGTTCCTGGCCAAGTACAGAGGCTCATGCCTGTAATCCCAACACTTTGGGAGGCCAAGGTGGGAGGGACTGCTTGAGCCTAAGAGTTCGAGACCAGCCTGGGCAACACAGCGAGACCTTGTCTATAATAAAAAAAAAAAAGTAGCCAAGTGTGGCAGTGGATGCCTATAGTCTCAGCTACTCAGGTGGCTGAGGTGGGAGGACTGTTTGAGACCATGAGTTTGAGGCTGCAGAGACCTGTGATCCTGCCACTGCACTCCAGCCTGGGCAGCAGAGCAAGATTCCATCCCAAAAAAGGAAGAAAAAAAAAAAAAAGAAAGAAAAATGTAGCTATATGTAAAAATGTCCAAAGAATCAAAGAAAACTATGTTCAAAGACTTTAAATGAGAGCACGATGATGATTTCAAAAAATAGAGAACCATGTCAGAGAGACAAATTATTTAAAAAGAAAAACAGCCAGGCGCAGAGGCTCATGCCTGTAATCCCAGCACTATGGGAGGCCGAGGTGAGAGGACTGCCTGAGCCCACAGGTTCAAGACCAGTCTGGGCAACTCGGTGAGACTTCTTCTCTACAATAAATAAAAAAAATTAGCCGGGCATGATGGTGCGTGTTCATAGTTCCAGTTACTTGGAAGGCTGAGGTAGAAGGATCTCCTGAGCCCAGCAGGTCGAGGCTGCGGTGGCTGTGAGCAGCATTCCACTGCATTCCAGCCTGGGCGACACAGTAAGACTCTGACTCAAAAAAATAAAAATAAAAATAAAACCAAAGCTGACAAGTTCAATAACTGAAAAGAATTTACAGAGGGACTCAATAACAAATCTGAACTGGCATAAGAGAGAATAAA